TGTTTGTCCCCACCCCCCCATTCTCTCTGAATCTATACCCACAAGGTTTCTGTCCCTACCACTCCACCAAAACACCTCAAGGCCAAAGACCTACCTCCACATTTTCAACTGCAATGGTCAATTTTCAGTCCTAATCCGAGCCTGTCAGCAGCACTTGACAAAGCTGATCACTCCCTACCCTTGGCTTTCAGGACCACACTCTCTCTGTTCGCTTCCTCCCACACTGACTACTCCTGTGCTGTCTGCTGGCTCTTCATCCTGACTCTGGATTCAGTCCTTGACCCTATTCCCTTTTCGCTGTACTCACTCCTTAGTTCCACAGCTTTAAACACTAACTGCATCTGACAGCTCTCCAGACTGGGTCTGCAACTCATAAGCAATTATCTCTACTTGGATACATAATAGCATCTCCAGGGTAACATCTCCAAAATTAAGTTCTTTATCTCAACCCCCACTCCTTCCTCCCAAAAATCCTGCTAGAGATTCCCTCTTGAAATATTCCCCATTTCAGCAAATGTTTCCTGAATTGGGCTCATGACAAAAACGTTACTTATCCATTTATCTGCTCAGGTATCAAAAAATATCCTATTGGCTTCTCCTTTAAAAAATACCCCAAATCTGACCATGTCTCAGTTTCCACTATTCCCACCCAGTTTCAAAACTTCCATCATTCTCACCGTGAATATTTTAACAGTCTCTTAACTAGTCTCCCTGCTTGCACTCTCCCCTTAGTAGCCAGAAGGGTGCTGTAAAAATCCAAGTCAGATTCCCTATTTCTCTCATAAACCTCTCTAGTGGCTTCCAGTCTCTCTGCTAAGCCAAAGCCATCCAAGGCCCCACATGATCTCAATCTCTTTCCGCTTGCTGGGCCCCGTTTCCTATTTCTCCTCCAGCCATGGGAGCCTACTTGCTTTACCTCAAACATATCAAAAACATCCCATCTTTGACCCCTTGCACTTGCTATTCCTTCTGGTTAAGAGACTCTTCCTAAAATCCCGACAGCGTGTTCCTCACTTCACTGAGATCTCTATTCAAAGTTTACCCTCTCTCTTCACCACTTTCTAAAATTGGGCAGAGCAAAAATCTTCACAACTGGACCAATAAGCAACATCACAATAAATGGAGAAAATACTGACATTGTCAAGGATTTCATTTTACTTGGATTCACAATCAACACCCATGGAAGCAGCAGTCAAGATATCAGGTGTCATACCGCATTGGGACAATCTGCTGCAAAATATTTCTATTAAGTGCTGAAGAGCAGAGAGGTCACTTTTAAGACTAAAGTGTACCTGATGCAAGCCATGGTATTTTCATTCGCCTCATATGCATGTGAAAGCTGGACACTGAACATGGAAGACCAAAGAATTGATGCCTTTGAATTGTGGTGTTGGTGAATACTGAAAATACCACAGACTGCCAAAAGAATCAACAGATCCGTCTTGGAAGAAGTGCAGCCGGAATGCTCCTTAGAAGCAAGGATGGCCAGACTTTGTCTCCTGTACTTTGGTCATGTTGTCAGAAGGGATCAGTCCCTAGAGAAGGACATCATACTTGGCAAAGTAGAGAGTCAGCGAAAAAGGGCAAGCCCCTCAACCAGATGGACTGACACAGGAGCTGCTACTATGGGCTCAGGGATGCCAGCAACTGTGAGAACAGTGCAGGACTGGGCAGTGTTTCATTCTGTTGCACACAGGGTTGCTGTCAGAACCAACTTGGTAGCACCTAACAACAACAAAACTGGACTCCTTGTCACTCTTCCCTTTATCTCTCGATCTGCTTTTCTTTATTCAATAAGCACAATCTGACTTACATAACAGTGTGTCTCCCCGAACTAGAATGTAAGCTCCTTAAGAAACAAAGACAGTATTCTATTCAATGCCGTATCCCAAATTCCCAAGTGATGTTTGGTGTATAGTAGGCAAGGAATAAATTTTAGGGGAATGATGAATTCCATATAAATGTGTGTTATTCTATAATGGCCACAAAGGACAGTACATTCAAACAATAGGATAATTTTATTTAACCAGGCCTTACCAGCAAGTATTTAGATGATTTCCTACATTTTATAACTATAAACAATGCTGCTATGAATATCTTTTCACATCAGTCTTCAGGAACTTAAACAGATGCACATTTAAGAAACTCCTAGGACTAAAACAGCTGGGACTAAAGAACAGCCGGGACTCTGAGCAGTTCACGTTTTGTTAGAAACTATGGAGCAAATATCATTCATTTTTTGTCATTTTATTATCTAAATATTTCAAAAGGCACTTGTAATTGAAGAGTGACAATAAAAGGACTACAAAGTAAGGTTCCCCAAATTTGTAGTAATCTCTCACAATCCATGATTATATGCTGTCGTCTTCTTTTAAGAAAATTTTTACAACCTGCCAGGGAAAAAACAAAGAAAGGCCAAGTTCTAAAACTAGTTACTCCTCAACTATTAAAGAAGGCTTTGGTTCACTATTCTTCCACCTCTTGCTCCCTTCCCAAGTACTGGTAAGCTGGGGAGGATCAGATCTCATTCTTTGGTTCTAGAAAGAATTTTCTCAAATGCCATACATACCTCATCTCGTCTTCCACCATTAAAAGAAGAGCTAAAGAGTTTGCTGCTGCCGCCACCCCTTTGAGGAGGCATCTTATTAAAAGTTTTGCTTTTCTGTGAATTGGAGCGACGGGACTGGTTGCTAAAATTTTCATTTTTGGGGTAGGAAGTTTCACGTTTACGATTGTAACGCTTGGATCCATTTGAGTTCTTTCCATCTGAAAGCAAGAAACAAAACAAGAATTAAGAAATGATCCACATACTTGGCCAATTTTTCTCCACCTCCCAGCAAAATCATGTTTAAACAGGGGTGGACAGGCCCTTTCACTTCATCTAAGAAATCTGCCATAACATTAATGTTTTGGGCAAGATATCACATAATCAGGGTTTTTTGTTGTTTTAAATGACGAAGCCTAAGGGGTCCACCACTCTGCACAAATACAGTATATAATGTCCAACCAATAGATATCTCTTTTTCACAGAGCTTAACCACTGCTCTTGTAAAAGTCCATTCAGACAAAGTGACAAGAAAGAGAACACCCATTCTACACTGGGGAAAAAATATTTTATCAAGAAGCAGGACAGAAACCACTATTCCTCTTTAAATTACTACACCATAGCCAGATTCTATACTGCAAGGGCTTGTACCTTACCAGATACAGTCAAGAGGCATAAGAGAAAAACAGTATTTATGTATGTTATAGAGGCCAGAGAAGCTATTAAATTGAGAAAAGAAGTTGAGCATTATAAGCACATTAGATTGGCATGTGTTGTTATATCCTATATCCTTTTTTTAAAATGTTTATTGCTTTTTTCCCTCTGATTATAACATAGGCTCAATTTTTAAATTTGGAAGAATAAATTTAAAGTTGCTAGTACTCACAGTGGGAGCTCTGGTAGCATAGTGCCTAAGGCATTTGACTGCTAACCAGAAGGCTGGCGGTTCAAACCCACCAGCCACTCCTCGGAAGGAAGGTTGGGCAATCTACTTCCATAGTGATACCACCTGGGAAACCCAAGGAGGGGTCACTATGAGTCTCGACAGCACATAACAACAAAAGTACTCACAGAATACCAACAGTACTCATAGAATACCAACCAGTTAAAGTGTTTAACTTCTTTTTAATCTCCATTTTATAAACTTACCACACATTTTATACATAATTAAAAGCACACAAGAGATGCTGCCATCTACTTATTACTCCACGAGCATTTTCACACATCCTAAGTCTTCGGAACATTAAAGGCTACACTGTTATTCCACCACATGCTTGTTGTTGTTGTTATGTGCCGTCGAGTCAGACTCGACTCATAGCATCCACTCCTTGGGTTTCCAAGGTAGTATCACTACGGAAGTAGATTGCCCCATCTTCCTTCCAAGGAGTGGCTGGTGGGTTTTGAACCACCAGCCTTCTGGTTAGCAGTCAAGTGCCTTAAGCACTACGCTACCAGAGCTCCTAAGTACCACATGCTTACACCATAATATATAACCAGTTCCCCATTACTGCATATTTAGATGGCTTCTAGTTTTCTGCTAGTTCAATATACAGTATTTGGGGGCCTGTATGTATGTTGGGAGGAGCTCTGGTAGCATAGTGGCTAAAGCACTTGACTGCTAACCAGAAGGCTGGCGGTTCAAACCCACCAGCCACTCCTCGGAAAGAAGGTTGGGCAATCCTACTTCCGTAGTGATACTGCCTCAGAAACCCAAGGAGGGGTCACTATGAGTCGGGGCCAACTCGACGGCACATTAACAACAACAACAACAACATGTATGTTGGGAGCTCTGGTAGTGTAGTACTGAAGGCATTTGACTGCTAACCAGAAGTTTGGCAGTTCAAACCCACCAGCCACTCTTCGGAAGGAAGGTTGGGCAATCTACTTCCATAATGATACCACCTCGGAAATCCAAGGAAAGGTCACTATGAGTCGGATCCGACTCCACGGCAGTTGAGTTTGGTTTTTGGTTTTGGTATGTATGATTGGAGCTCTGGTGGCGCAGTGGTTAATGCATTTGGCTGCTAACCAAAAGGTCGCCAGTTCAAAAACCCAGACCTCCCGCAGGAGAAAGATGAGGCAATCTGCTTCCGTACAGATTTACATCCTTGGATATCCTTTATCAGGCAGTTCTACTCTGTCCCACAAAGTCACTATGAGTTGGAATCAACTAGATGGTAGTGGGTTTGGTTTTGGGTTTGGTATGTACAATTATTTTGTTATGTTCTATTCTCCAAGTTGAATTAGCAAATAAAGTATGGTCATTAAAGTCTTTTACATGCTACCAAGTTATGTTCTAGAGCTGCCCTACCAATTTGTTTATATTTGAAAAGACAAAATGTCCAGTTCACCCTCTTGATAACATTGAGTTAAACAGGTCAAAATAGTTTGTTTTAAAATTGAATTTCTGATAACTAGCAATACTCTTTCAATCTGTTAACCACGTGCATTTTGTGTGAAGTACCTGTTTGTGCTCTTTGCCCAATTTTTTCTACTGAGGAGGTGAATTATGTGGATTTTTGTCCCAACTGAACTCTGACCAGATGTATTTAACATCCACCAAGTTATACCAGCACAAAATAGTAAAGTTGACAGTTACTTAAAATCATACACAACTAAGTAACTAATCAAGCCCACTGCCATCAAGTCGATTCTGAATCATAGCAACCTCTGTCAGGTTTCCAAGGCTGTAAATCTTTATAGAAGCAGACTGCCTCATCTTCCTCCCATGAAGCAGCTGGTGAGTTGGAACTGCCTACCTTTTGGTTAGCAGCTCAATGCCTTAACCACAGTGCCACCAGAGCTCCTTCTAAATAACTAATGAATGAACGAACGAACTATGGAATCACATCCGACTCACAGCAACCCCTCCCTTGGGTTCTATGGAAGTAGATTGCCCAACCTTCCTTCCGAGGAGTGACTGGTGGGTTTGAACCGCCAGCCTTCTGGTTAGCAGTCAAATGCTTTAGGCACTATGCCGCCAGAGCTCCCCTAAATAACTAAAGAGGTCCTCAAATCAGCCTTTAGTGAAAAAATACTTTCTTACCCCTTCACTCACTCCATGTTGTTCAACCACAATATGGAAATCTGACCAAATTTGCATACTAACTTAATGGCTTTAAAAGCAAAAACATGGGGAGAAGGGAAATTGGGAGATTTGTAACAAAGAAATCCATTAAGCTTACCCTCAAACTTTAATGGCATGGTGGTGGTGGCTTACAAAGTCAAGGGGATCACAGCATGAACTTCAAAAACTAAGTTTTTCCCCCCAACACAACTTAATCCTGTTTATGTTAAGTATATACAAATACTAATAGACACATGTCTGGAGAGAATACGAACTGTTAATGACAATTACCTTTGAGAAATGGAGCTGCTCACTTCCACCCTGTTACAGCATTCCTCCATCCTGCCAGTTCACTGGTATCACCCAGATGAACTCTTAAGGGATTCCTATGCTCAGGCCTCATCCCTAAGATTCTGACTAAAATATATAGAATCATTGCTCTGTACATGTATTATTTGAGTAATTTTTAAAACTGTAAGTATTTAAAATAAACTTTTTTCCTTTTTAATTTACTTTATTGTGGTGAAAACGTACACAGGAAGTCATCAAGCAACATAAATACTTCCCCATTTACAGCTCTCAGGGACACTGATGACATTTTTCATGTTATGCCACCATTACTGCTATCCTTTTCTAAAACATCCCACCACCATCAGCATAAACTAAAAGCCTCACAAACAAAAGCTTCCCCTTTATCCCTCCCTCCTACCACTGGTAACCACTAACAATCTTTGGTTAAAAGAAACTTTCTTGACAAGTAAGATGACCTGCTTGCTTTACAGCAGACTAAATCCAAGGTGCAACAAAGTTTACAAAACAGGAAATGAGAGCTTAAAAAACAGAGTCCACATTTTAAAAGCAACATTTCACACTCATAGTCTGTCAACCTCACAGGATGAATGAGAGGGATGCCACCCTCTCCAAACTCAACCAAGTTATGAGCTGGGAGTCCAACTAATAGGTGAGATGGAGGCAGTATAAACAAACAGATGTTCACAGAAGTTCAGCCAGGCTAGGTTCACTGCCACCAATTTGGAACAGTCATTGGGGTTTAATCTGAACTCAGAAACTACACTTCTGTGTACTATTCAGCAACAGGTAGTGTCAAACATGGTGTCAGCATCAGCGCTAACAATTACAAAGTGAAGTTTTAGTTCTCATACACATTTTGCCTAGTTCCCAACCCATGGAATTTGTGTATAATTAAGATTTCAACATGTAGAAATTATTAAGATGCCATGTTCTGTTACATGTATTTTCACAATAACATCAGCCACATCTTCCTGCTTTGCTTTTATTAACCCTATTCATATGCCTTGGTGAGAATAAATGAAGTCTTTGGAAAAGGATGGTCATGAATAAGGAACACATACTCACAAAACCTCACTTCCCAAGACCGTTTTAGATAATCCTAAAATGGACCCAGACTGTTGCTTTCATACAGAGGACACAAACATGACTAAGCAAGAATGGCACCCCCGATGGTTTTCATGGATTTAGGTAATACCAGATTCTACAGTGCAAGGGCTTAAGAAAGTAAGCTAGCACTCAGCCAGAGGGCTGTTTTCATGTCTTCCACTCATTACCACACTGGAAAGGAAACATTTCAACATACTTACAGAATTGCTCTCTGATGAACAATGAACTGCTCATTTCTAAAACAGATTACAACAACTAACCACAATATGGATTCATGATTTTAGTTGCCAAAATCAACTACTCCATCTTGTCTTCTCCTTACTTTAGGGTGTAAAGTCATACACAAACAGTGAGCGACTGGCCCTTATCTCTAGACGCAGGCAACTGGCAGCTCAAAATTGAAGGTACAGTAAGGCCTGGGACCCAGAGATAAAACCCAGAATACTATTTTTGACATATTTTGTAGACATCTTGCTAAGATATACATGGAAATAACGTAAGGGTAGAATCTGTCCTCCTTTCTTTGATAGGAGACCACAATACGATCAGTGAGATGACTCGCTTTAGAGTTTGGCAGACGACAAAAAAGTCAAGTTCCTAGGAGACACAAATTGCTCAAAGTTTTAATTCCAGAGTAATGGTTCTTAAGCCTGGCTGCACACCAGAATCACATGCAGAGACTTTTAGGGCTATGAGTGCCCAGGGCCCAAGAGCCCAAGCCAGAATTAGAGAATC